GCATCAAAGAATGGCTTGCAATGATCTGTAGACTTTGAAATGAACCGATTAAGGGCTGCCAGTCGACCAGTTAAAGCTTGGACACCTTTGAGAGATGTCGGGGGAGCTAGGTCAAGTATGGCTTGAATCTTGGCGGGATTCGCTTCGATCCCTCTCTGACTCACCATGTATCCTAGAAACTTCCCTGATCCAACTCCGAAAGTACACTTCTTGGGGTTAAGCACCATGGAATATTCTCGGAGTATATCGAAGACTTCGGAGAGATGGGCGATATGGTCAGAGGCCTGTTCCGACTTCACTAACATGTCGTCTACATAAACTTCCATTGTATGGCCGATTAAGCGAGCAAACATCTTATTGACCAATCTCTGATATGTGGCCCCTGCATTCTTCAATCCAAAAGTCATCATAACATAGCAATAAAGGCCTCGAGCTGAATAGAACGAGGTATGTTCAGCGTCATCAGGATGCATGGGAATCTGATTATAGCCTGAATAGGCATCCAGAAAACTCATAAGTTGATGTCCCGACGTAGCGTCTACCATGTAATCAATGTGTGGAACGGGGTAGCTATCTTTCGGGCACGCTTGATTCAAGTCTGAAAAATCTATACAGAGACGCCAAAGGCCGGTGGCTTTCTTAACCAAGACAGGATTCGATATCCACGTCGGGTACTTTGCTTCCTTGACAAATTTATTATCTATGAGCTTGTTTACTTCCTCTTCAAGGGCCTTCTGGCGGTCTGGGCCGAATTTCCGACGTTTCTGAATAACAGGTTTGACAGTTTTGTCCAAATTGAGATGATGGCATGCTTTCTGTGGGTCGATCCCTTTCATGTCTTCATGCTTCCAAGCGAACACATCAGTGTTTGACTGGAGGAACTGAATCAAATTTGACCGAATGGGTTCTTGCAGGTTGGCCCCAATACGCAGCGATTTCTGCTGAGGCGACCCGTCCACGTAAATGATTTCGATATCTTCAACGGGTTCCGCCCGGACGTGATGACTTCCATCTTTGAACTGCATCCTTGGGTCCATATCTTCATGCATTTCTATGTCTCTTTCATGAAAAGGTTGTTCTTGATCGAGGATTTTAGTTGATGTTTCAGGCAGGACCGACGTCATAGGGACGTCGGTATCGACAAGCGGCAAGTTGGTATCTGCCTGAGGCATGTCGGTATCCGGGATGAACTGGTCAGTTCTTTCAGCATCAGAAGTTGAATTATTTGGCCCAACGGAGTTATCAGCATCTTGTTCTTTCATCATATGAACGCTGCGCGAGGTCGAGAGCAACATCAGACTTCGGGCTTCTCGTTGATCTCCGTAATGAGTGCCTTCTCTTTCAATGGTAGGGAACTTCAAAGCATAATGAAAAATCGACACAGCAGCACGAAGTTTATAAAGCGCGGTTCGTCCTATTACAACATTATATTCATTTTGGACATCTAGGACTTTGAAAGTTTCCATAATGATCTTGGACTTCGGCCCAAAGCCACCAAACCGAATAGGGAGCAATATTTCGCCAACAGGGCAAGAAATGCTTCCATTAAAACCTTGAATTTGATCGTTGCACGGCCTAATGTCTGCTGGGTCCAAACCCAATTTCTTAAAGGTGCGGAGCATCAAAATGCTTGAGTAAGCTCCTGTGTCGACCAAGATCCGATGAACAGGAATCCCCCCAATCGGGGCGGTTATGATAAGAGCATCGGAATGAGGATGAGCGAACAAATTAGCGTCTTCAATACTAAACGTGATCGGACAATTCCGTTTGTTGATAGTATCTCGAAGATCCACGTTCATGACTCGTTTCTCGACATTCTGTGCCTCCCGGGCATAGGCTTTAATTTTGCGTCGAGACGTATCTAACTGTTTGTTATTGAAGTTGATTCGAGGTATACAATGTGAAGAATCTGTGGGATCATGCATCTTAGATTTCCTGTGGTTATCTGTCGAGGTTCCGACATGAGTGGAAAACGTAAAAACTTCCTTATCGTTTGCACGAGCTCTTTTCTGATTAGCAGGTCGGTCATCCTCATCTTCATCGTCTGAAAGATCCAAGGGTCTTCCTTTCCGGCGGTTATCAAAATTTCGAAACTTTTGAAGCTGGGGTTGTCCGATTAAACGTAAGAGTGCCGACAAAAGACTGAGACACTCGTCGGTATTGTGTCCAAGAGACTTATGGTACGCACAGTACCGAGTTTTGTCCAACTTGTCTTCAGGAGTTCTCACAGGCCTCGAGTCTGGTATAATTCCCTTTCCTTTCAGTTCTTCATATATGGTGGCTGCTCCGGCGGAATAAACGGCATGATAACCTGTCCTGACATTGTCTGAATACTGATCACGAGCAGCCCGAGACTCTGGAGTATTTTCATATCCTTTAGAAGAGTTCCGAAATTGTGCTTTCCCAAAGTTCTTCTTGTTCTTCTTCTTAGTATCCGGTTCAGCCTTGCTTATTTTCACCGAGAAGTCGAAACTGGGAACCGACATGGATTCTTCAGCAATAATGAACTGTTGAGCCCGCACAAGAAACTCTTGAAATGTAGCAGGCTTGTTTTGACACAAGGTCCAACGAAACATTGAATTGGGCTTCAGTCCGGCAATAGCAGTTACTAACAAAGTTTCAGGATGACAGGGTTCCATGTTCTGAATTCGGTCATTGAACCGAGCCACGTAGTCTTTAACAGTCTCGTCATCCTTTTGCACAATGTTGGTAATCGATTCTTTCAGAATAAGACAGATTTGGGCACCGATAAAGTGTGACCGGAAAGCTGCACGCAACTGCTGCCATTTCCAAATTGAATGAGGTGGGAGAGTATAATACCATTTTTGGGCTCGTGGCCCCAGTCTAAGTGAGAACATCCGACACCTCAAAGCGTCTGAAGCCCCATGTAAATCCATCCAAGACGTATAATGGCCTAAGTGTGCATCTGGATCCGACGTCCCATCATACATACCGATTTGCGGGATTTTCACTTTCACAGGGAGTGGCTCCGCAGTAAGTTCGGGGGCTAAAGGAGAATCCGCCTCGACAATAACATTTCCCGATGTCGTGACATGTCGGGGTGAATCTTCTTGTGACTTCTGTCGTGTTTTAAGTTCAGCCAAACGCTTTCGGAGAGTCTCAATTTCCTCCGCACTATGCCTTGAAAGACGATTCCGTTCGATTTGGCGTCGCAAATCTTCGCGAGCGTGAGGTGCTGAAGAGATGGGTCTAGGACGTGGCGAAACTCTCTGGTGACGAGCAGAATGACTTTCAGCAGTCATCTCCTGCACAGGAGGTTGATCTGGGACTTGATTGTTCGTTACGGGATTAGCAATTACATGAGCCTGCTCTTCTTGACGTGGAGAAGTGTGATGAGGCTGCGACGTGGCATGTGACGTCGCTACATGTGTTTCATGGTCATGATGAGTATGAGTTGGATGTTCTGTTGGGTTAGTAGTTAACGGCATCGACAATGGTATCGTGCTCGAGTTTCTGGGCATGGCTCGAGCTATTAATGAAGTTAGACCTTGGATAAACTCCGGATTTTGAAGAAAGTTCGTGACATTCGTGACCGGAGGAGGCGGGGTTGTACGCCGTGGAGAATGGTTAGTCGATTGGGTCTGGCCAGGGTGAGGTACATGATCTCGACCAGACTGCGACATAGTAATTTCCGAGTATGAAAATGGCTTACAGGCGAAAGTTAACTTCAAAACATAGCCCTTCCTCTAGCGCCAAACTGTTGTCAAATGGAAATTAACAACGGTCTAATTGAAGTAAATTTGAAGTAAAACTCAATATTCAACGATAAAAACTTGCATATTGTAAAAAAAGATGGAATTTTTTGGTAAAGTATTATTATTGTACGTGTCTCCCTGGAGACTTGTTTTTCTCCTTTTATATTTAAGCACAATATTTATCCGTACGGTAATCATTACATTTGAAAGGTCAAAGGCGGCTCTTGGCTACTTCTCTTGATAGCTCGCCACTTGGACAAACGTAATGATGACTTGTGCTGAGTTGTCGCCGCCTTACAGTGATGAGGTGGCATATTATAGATATCGGTTTA